CTCCCCAGGCTTTCACCACACTATTGTCTGTGTCCATGGGTTATGCATATAAGTTCTTTGGTTAATCTCTCCCCACCCCCACCCCTTCCCTCTGATAAACGTGTCTGTTCTGTGCTTCAATGTCTCTGGGTCTATTTTGTTAGTCAGTTTAGTTTGTTCATTAGATTCCACATAAAAGTGAGATCATGTGATATTTGTCTTTCTCTTCCTGGCTTATTTCACTTAGCATAATACTGTCCAGAGGACCTGGAGAGTATTATTTTACTCTTGAATTGAACATATTTTGCTCTATTTCTTTTTTAATGTACAAAGCTTTTATTTTAAAGAAAGCAGTCATTTAATATAGAATAAAATGAAGTTTGATCTTCTTGGAAATGAAATGTCTATCTACTTGAGATAAACCAGAAAGGTGGGGCACTTGCCCTCCATAGTCAGGTGGTGCTTTACTTCAGATTGGTGAGTGCTTGGCTTCTAAGAAGGTGCAAATTTTGCTCCATGTCTAATTGGTTTTCTAAGTTATGATATTGTAAACCTTTTTTAAGTGATCATAAGAAATGCTTATCGTCTGATCGCTATGCTGAATAATAAATACCTTTTATCTTTTTAATATTGCAGTTGACTCATGTTGACCAGGCAAGCTTCCAAGTTGATGCCTTTGGAACATCCTTTATTTTTGATGTCCTGCTAAACCAGTAAGTCTTTGTGAGCTGCACTCACTTTTGTCTGACACACGTTCAACCCACCTTTTTACCTTTCTGTAAAATTTTGTTTTCTTACTATATTTACTTCATCTTCCTGTATCAGTTAAATACTACATTTAAAATTATTATATCTATTAATATAATATTTATTATATCTATTGTTAAGTATAAAGTCTGGCAAATGACAGGAAATGAATATCCATTTGGCATTGAAAAGCCATAGCTGATTTAACAATGTAATATGGAGGGCAAGACTTACTCTAGTATTTTGCATAAGAATATATGTGACCTAAGTTTCTATGAATGACAACAAATTGTGAAAATAATACTTTTGGTATTAAAGCGTCTTCCTTAAGAACAGCAGAAAAGAGAAAGTCACCCTTTTGCTCAATGATTCAAAGGACTGGCTGCATGTGTTATTCTTAATAGTCCCTTTGGATGCTTTGATTTGGGAGTTGATTTCTGTGAGGTTTAGGGTACTGGGATTATTCTGTAAATACCATATAATTTTGGAAATTGTCATTTGTCTACCTAGAATTTTGGGTTTGGAATAACAGAATTTTAGGTTTGGAAGTGGCTTTTGATAAATCACTGGATTTAATCTCTTTGCTTTGGGTAAGTCTAGTGTCTAATAAGTTTTACAAGATTTTTAGTTGTCTGTTCCCTTTTTTTCAAAAGCATTTGTATCGCACTTCTCATCATGGACAAGTGGAAAGAGACCAGTGCTCTGCCAGCCAGTGTTTCTGAGCTGAGCAGCAGTGGCCAGGAACTTTCCTGAAATCAGCTATGCAACAGCTCAGGAAGAAAATTTGAGGATAGAAGGATAGAAAAGTAGACCTAGAGTAAAAACTAAAGCCTAAGTTGTCTACACAGGGGGACCAGGTACATGGAAGATTAAAAAATGGATATAAGAGGCAGGACTTAGAGCTGTGATATCTGGATAAGTAGCCACTAGCCTCTTGTGGCTGTTAAGTATAAATTAATTCATTTAAATAAAATTTGAGATTCTGTTTTTCAGTTGCATTTGTCACATTTCCAATGCTCAATAGCCACGTGTGGCTAATGGTTATCTTATTGGACAAGGCAGAACAATTCCATCATTGCAGAAAGTTCTGTAGGATAGTACTGGCTCACAGATTTCTTTTGGGGAGCGGACACATATGAACTGTTAGGTTACTGAGCTAAGTCAGTCGTTTCAGTCCATGGTTAATGGATTAATTTAATAATTAATTTTACTAGTACCCTATGGAATTTATGTACAAATTTGTGGTAATACCATTTTTGTTGTGTTAATGTTTAAGCCATGCATTAGTTTACTTTTTAATTAAGTTGTGTCATAAGGTACATTTTGTAAGTAATTCTCCTTTCTCCCCACATTTTTGTTAGTTCACAAACATTTTAAATACTAAAAAAACATTGTGTTAGATGGTGTACTGTAGGAGCTCCAATCCTGGGAGCACCGTGCTGTTCTTTGCTAGTCGGAAAAAAAACACACATGGGGGATCAGAGGGAAAAGTCATAGCCTTTATTACTTAGCATCTGGGGAAGACCCAATAGCTGCTGGTTGGGGAGTTTCCACACTTGGCCAGGTAGGCTAGGGGCTTACCTAGAAGAGGGGAGAGGGAGAGGGAGGGAGTCTTGCTGGGAAAGGCCTGCATGCAGACCAAGGCCAAACAGAGAGTGTGGTGAGGCTTGTTAGCCCTCAAGGACGTGGGAAACACCTCTGTCTGAGCTGCTCGGCTCCTTGTGGCCGCTGGCCAGGCAGATACCTTTCCACTGACTGGGAGGGGGAATTGGGCTGTATCCTTGTGTGACCCTACAGATGGAAATTGACTATTTGGATGATCCAATAATGGGAGTTGTTTTTTCTTTGATAATGTATATATTTAAAGTGTAACATAAATTGTATTTCTACTATGCTCATTAAAATAGAGGTTTTTTTTAAAAAAATTAATGGCCTAGAACATATATAATTAAATGTTTTACACCACACTATATTTTTAAACTTAATTTCATAGGGTGTGAGTAAGATTGTATTAATATGACCTGTATCTTATATTCCTGCTTGATGTAAATACCTGACATAATTCCACCACTTGGAGACTGGTTGCCCTGTTTTAAGTGGTAACACTCTTTGCTCCCCCATCCACCCGACTACCTGTTCTGCTGCTCTGCTTCATTTGAAAAATATTACTCATCGCCATTTAATAGATAGGTTGACTCATATTGTGACAGGATAGTAAGAAGCTAGGAAAATTTCGTGGCAAGTAGAATGAGGGAACTGAGACAGATAGCTGAACAAACTGGCTGAGCAATTTACAGCCCGATACAGAAGGTCACCTCCCTAGAGATAACATCTAGGTCTCAGTTGTATTTCAGCTCCAGGCCCAGAGAAGCAGGAAAACTAGGTGAGCAACACCAGGACCAGCTGCAATGACTAATGACCCCCTACCCTGGCACTGACCAATCAATGCTACCAAGACCCTAAAAGGACACACCTGGAAAACTGATGAATATTCTGCTGAAATCCTCCCCTGAGACCTTCCCTAAGATTCCAGCCAGAGAGAGAGAGAGAGAGAGAGGGAGAGAGAGGATAAAAACCCTCAAAACAAAGGACTGTGCATGCACTGTACCTCCAGGGAGTGAGCATGCACGTGCCTTTCCTGCCCCTCTCTTTTTCTCCCACAGGCACATATCTCCTAAACTCTAAGGAGTTTCAGAAGATGTGCAACCAAGGGAGCAGTGGGTAGTGGCAGCTTGTCCCTCGCTAACCCCCTGAACCTGCCTCCAAGGCCCCTTTTCTCTGACTTCTCAGTGAGCCAAAGCAACCCTGCCTAGGTTCTCTCCTGTAGCTTCTTCTATCCTAGGCCCTTGTTTCACTTTCTCTAGCTTTAATAAATGTACTCTCAAAATCACCTGGGCTTGTGTTGTGAAATCTTTCCTGCACAAAGTCAAGAACCCACATACTACCAGCCCATCCTAGACAAACCCTCTCAGGGCCAGGTCCCCCTTTCTGGCAATAATACGAAGTTGCTACTTTTGCAGGGCAAAAATTTGACTACTGTCATTTTCATATGATCAAGTAATATCCTGTATTTTAATTATTGACTTTATTTATTGCCTTTTTCCTCCCACTAGAATGTCAGCTCCTTGAGGGCAGAGATTTTCTTTCCTTCACTGCTGTATCCTTAACAAAGAATAGGTGCAAAATTGCTAGGAAGTCATATTGAATTGGAAACCAGAGGCTGGAATTAGCCAGGAGTCAGAGGAGATGACTGTATGAGGGCGGAGGCTGTCAGTCAAAGAAGAGCGAAGCAACAAAAAAGAAAAGATGGTAAATGTTTGGGACTAGCTACTAAAAGCTGTGCATATACCTTCGGGTGTGACTTGAAAAGTCAGGTTCCTAGGTTCCTATTTCAGTGACTCTTTCCCATCTCTCCTTAAAATCATTGTTCTGTGGCTAGCTCCCACCTTGGTTTCTGGTTCCTGACATTTGTAACACCTTGACTTTCAGTATTCAAACACAGAAGGGATATTTATTCATGTCCATTCTGCCCAAACCACCTTACTTCCTTGGAGAAGTCTAAGCCCCAGGACATTCTGTTCTGTTCCTGTAGGAGAAATACATATGGCCATATGTATCAGAGTATGAAACAGAATACTAGGGCTGAAGCAGAATTTCTTTTGCGATACTGGCCAAACCTCCATTGGGCATTTCTCTTAACTGCAATGGAAATTTAAAATTAGAAGGAGCACAAAGGATAAAAATAATAGCATAAATGGAGACTCCTAGACTGAGAAAAATGCAAAGTGGTCTTTTGGGGCATATATATTAAACATAGGTGGCAGGTAGCTAGTTTCTTTATGATGTGAGGGCCAGGATGATTTAATACAAAGTTTATTTTTTCTTTTTTCTTTTTTAAAATAGTTTTTTTATTGATTTCAGAGAGAGGAAGGGAGAGGGTGACAGTGATAAAAACATCAGTGATGAGAGAGAGTCATTGACTGGCTGCCTTCTGCATGCTCCCCACTGGGGATCCAGCCCGAAACCTGGGCACGTGCCCTGACCGAGAATAGAACCATGACCTTCTGGTTCATAGGTTGACGCTCAACCATTGAGCCATTCAGCTGGGCTTATTTTTTTGAGAATGTTTTTATTTCATGATTTCAGTTTATATATTTTCTTGTGGTTGTGTTGGTTATGGAACAGGAAGATGAAAAATTGAATATGCTCTTTACAGCTATTTTTCTTATGAAGCAATTTTAGGGCTGTGGAACAGCTATAGTTTTTTGTTTGTTATGTTTTAACCTGGACACAAATTAAATAAGTCTATCTGTAGCTGAAGTCCAGTTGCAGAATGGATCCAATAATACATATTTTTAGATTAGAATGGGGAGAAAAGTGTCATTACATAATATTCCTTCTGAATGTTCAGTAAACAAGATTATCTATAACCAAATTACACAAGAGTTGAGCCTTAGGGTTGTAACTTCTACAGGAGGCAAATAAAGAATATGGAATGGTTAAAAATGAAAAGCACAGCCAGTTCCTATTTTGTCAAGATCATGAAGGGTAGAAAACAATTTTCAGTTCCTTCATGGGGTCATACAGTTGTAAAATTTTACTCTTTAGGACAGATATATTAATAAAACCAAACATATGGTGTGGTCTGGTCACACTAATCCTAAGGCCACATTGGACTTTTCCAGAGGTCAGCGACTGGTATTATATTTTATTGTGAAGCATTTCTCAGAATGAAAAAGGCTCAATAAAGACATTTAATTATGCTATTTGAATAATTTTAGTCAAGTCTTTTCCTATAAACATCTCTCCTGTTCTTCAAGAAGTGGGTAATTAAATGGCGCAAAATGGTTCAAAAATATTGAAAAAATTTTCATTCACTTCTTGATCTTTTTATAACAGGTTCTTGAGAAAAACAAACCACATATGTGGATACACACACACACTCCACAAAGAAGCAAATACTCCA